AAAAATAGCTCATGTGGCTCCCAAGGTGAAGAGATATGTGACTTACATAATGCTTCACAAGGCCCCGGGCTCAAAACTAGTATGAGTTAGATACAACTCACATGACATTTAATGTGTTAAATACCATGTGCTGATGATTTCCAGATTTATATTTCTAGCTTGAACCTGTATCCTGAATTCTAGGCTTGTTGATAAAATTTCCTCTTCAGCATCTTCAGGTGGAGGTTTAATAGCCATCTCAAAATTAATACATCTAACACTAAACTTTTTATATACAAACCCTCAAACATGTTCATCTCAGTTAATGAAAACTCCATTTTTCTAGTTGCTTAGGCCAAAACTTTAGAGTAATACTTAATGCCTCTCACTTTTGTTTTAATCACATCTCACACCTGATCTGTTAGCAAGTCCCATTGCCTGGGTCTATTTTCAATTATACCCCAAATCTGTCTCATGTGTCCACTTCTCACTATGTGTGCTATTACCATTCTGGTACAAGTTGTTCTCCCCTCACCTAGATTATTGCAATGATGTCTCTGTTGGTCTTCCTTACTCTTCTTTGGTCCCCTTACCCCAGTCTGTTTTTTACACAGAAGCCAGAATAATCCTCTTAAACACTTAGATCATATTACCTCTTTGCTCAAACTCTTTAATTATTTCCATTCTCAACCAGAATTAAAGCTAAACTCCTAACTGTGACTAAAAGATCCTGTGTGATCTAATTTCCCATCAACTCTCAGACCTTACCTTTTGTTACTATTCTCTTGCTCACTTAGCTCCAGCCATGTAGCCTCATCACTGTTTCTTAAATATTTCTGGTACAGTCTTGCCTCAATTTCTTTGTTCTTGTTCTCTCTGCTTTTCTCCTAGATGTCCTTGTTGTTCCCTTCCTCTTTCCCTTGAGTCCTTTACTCAAATGCCATCTTCTCAGTGAAGCCACTTTTGGCCACTTAATCTAAAATTTTATAGCCTTCTTTTAATATTTTCTTTACTCCCCATCTCTGCTTTAGTTTTTTTTTCCTTAACACTTATCACTCTAAATACTGTATTATCTGTGTGTTTATTCTGCTTAATTTCAATCTCTCCTCTCCAAGAGGACAGGAATTTTTGTCTGTTTTATTAATTGTCATAATGCCAGTACCTAGAACAGCACCTGCCACATAGTATGTACTCAATAAATATTTGTTCAGTTGAGTTTTGAATGCCTGTTTGTTGAATGAACATTGAATGAATATGGTAACTCCATAACCATCCACTGTGAAGAAGAAGGTTAGAGCATATACGAAAATCTCTTACAGCTAAGGAATTTGGCAAGTGATATAAAAAGTATTTAATTTCAGAGGCATTAAAGTTACTCTGAATCCTCCAGAGCCATCACTGATGAGCAGGGATAAGATAAGCATTGCCATATGGCTAGATAAAAGATAGAAAAACTAGAAAATTCAGTTCTCCTATGGACATGTCATGGAAGACAGGGCTATCCCTCTTATGGACTTACGGAACACTATTTGTTTCCAGGTTTCGTGACTGATATTTTGGTTACTGATTGCTGAATAAAATGAACACCCCAAAACTTAATGGCAGAAAATAACATTTTATTATGGCTTGTGAATCCATGGCTTGACCAGGCAGTTCTGCTCTACATGGTACTGCCCACTGGGACAGGATCAGTCATCTGGAGGACTGACCAAGAGCTCAGCTACAGCTCTCAGGCAGGAGCCTCTCCACATTGAGCTTCAAGTCATGGTGGCTGGGTTCCTAGAGTAAGCATTTCAAGAAATGGGAAGTAGAATCTGCTAGATCAGTTAAAGGCTAGGCCCATAACAGGCACAGCATCACTTCTGTTGTATCCTATTGGTTAGAGCAGTCACAAGCCCAGCCCAGAGACAGTGGAAGGGTGATTACAGAAGAAATGTGGTTCGTTGGAGGTTGCCACATTAACCATTTACAACCATACTTGGGTACTTTTGGACACCTCTAGAACACTGATATTCATTGCTTAGGCCTACTTCTGATTTTAGCTGTAGCTATGGTATATCCTTCTATGCAAGCTCAGACTGACTTTGCCTTTCCCACCTCAAGTGAGAGCCAGTATTTTCATGCTTTCTGCCCCAAGTCCTTCCCTGATGCATGGGAACCTGAAAGTACAGGTGAGCTAACTACCAGGACATCCTTAAACCAATGGGAGACAGGCACTGGTGGATAGATACTTAAGTCTCCTGTCCTTCAGGAAGACCATTCTGGGAAGCATGTATGCTTCTCAGTAGGTCTTGATGAATTGTGTTCCTTTTTACCATATTGAGAACTTTGGTAATGAACCCTCACACTTGCTTTTCCTATTTTCTGAGTGAATTTTCCTTGGTCCCTCACTGTTATGTCCTGGGATCACTAGTCAAATAAACGACCTGTACCAAAGATCTTCTCTCTGACTCTTCTCCTGGGGGGGAGACAAACTTGGAGAAGTAATATTTTGTCAAGTAACAATAAAAACCCTTTCTTACTCCATTTAAAGAATAAGGCCCAAAGTTGCGACTTACAGAAATGGTTGAACTTGTGACTGCAAGTTCTAGTCTTAACCATTTTTGTAAAAGGTCTTACAGTCTGAGGAATGGACATGGGCTTCAGTGTATCAAGCTCAGGGAGGTGAGGGGAAGGTTTTAGTCTCTGTCAATTGGAAGACCAACTTGAGAGGATTACTGATTCTGTGTTGGACATTCCTATAAAGAAATAGGATTATTCCAGTATACTTAGAAATGGTGCATTAAATATGCATATAGCTTTTCTTATTCAAGATAAAGTATGCCTTACTAGAAAGATACTATTTCCTTAGGAAAGGTGACTATTGCAAATTTTCCTTTTTGAGAAAATAAAATATTCAGTACCCAGAGAGTTTAAATGTGTTTTATAATCTTAGGTCTAGCACCTTGGATTCAGCAAGTAATTCAATGTTCAACTGGAAAAACAAGTTTTTATGCAAATTTCGGAGGAGTTTTAATGTGTATGTGTGTATATTTACACCAGTAGTTGAATTTATATTTAAATTAATATATATTTGAAGTAACGTATTAAAAATATATTTTCTCTTATAATCTATACCTTCTTTCTTCAATAAGTAATTTATAGCAGCATATAACAATACATAAAATGTCATTAAATGGGATATATTAGAACTGGAATAAGAGAAGAAAGAGTAACCAGGGTGTGATGCAAAGCAGATGTGTACTCAGTTATACGTGGCCTTTGTCCTACCTCCTCCATTTGAGGTGAGTTACACAAATACCTGCAGAGGGCTAAAGTTCTCCCCCAAATATAATTTTAGATCAGTTCTAGCATGCAGATGAACATAAAATAGAATCCAAAAGTTCTGCTCAGTGTAGCATGGCAACAATTGATTTAGCTTGAAAACAATTTAAAGCAGCATAACTTGGATGCTCTATTCAGAAAACAACCACAAAAACAAAAATTTTTTAAACTGTCATTTTAACAGCCATAGATTATCTAACTTTGAGCAGCTCTACTTCCTCACATACTCTCCAAGGAAATGCCCTATTTGTTAAATGTTCACAAAGATAACTAACTGAGATAACTTGTTATATTGGCTTGTTGTTTATAAACTAGTTAAAAGTTCTGGGACATTCTCCAAAAAGCAATTATTTTCACATTTAAAAAGTTCATCTGTAACTCGGTTTTCTGGCAATAATGAACTTACAGAGTCAAGTGTTTGTTCAAGCCACTTATGAGTCAAGATAATAATATAACCACATCATTGGTCTATAAACAATATTTATCTTTCTGTTCTATATGAGTCTGTGTCCAACTCATCTGAATGTGGCATATGATCATTTAGAATCAAGTTACAAAGAATAGTAGGGGTAATAATTATGCTTTAACCTTGTAGAATATTTTAACTGTTTTATCAGAAAACCATTTTTGATAAATTTAAGGATTGTTCTAGGCTACTGTTCTAGTGAAAAAATAACTTAAATTTATTTTGTTGTTATATGATCTTTAAAAAGATATGTTTAATCAGCTATCAATTATCTGAGCAGATGCAGGTTAACATTTATAAACACATAGGATTTTTCCAAATTTTAATTTATCTAGGTCGAACCTATAATGTCCCCTTGACACCAACTCAAGAAGCTTGGTATTACCTCTTTCTTCCTTCCTTTTATCAACTCACCCCAATCCTCCAAACTGTCATTCCAGCTCTAGAACTTTGCTTCTTTTTCAGTTTGTACCAGCTTAATAGCAATGGCCTTAGGTAAATCATGTAACCTTTCCCAGTCTGATTCCTCAGCTGAATGTACCGACTTCATAGTGTTGTGTTAAGGATTAAGTGAGTTAATTTAATATGAATACATGCATACATAAGAGTGTGTAATACTAGGTGCTCTCTGAGTGCTTGTTGCTGGTACTGTGGTGACTGCCATGGTGGGATGCTTTCTGAGCATCCATGCCTGGAGGATTGGGTTGATCTCTGCCTGAACCAGAGCCTGTGTCTATGGAGTTAAAGGTGAGGGAGATCTGAATCCCTTTCCTTTCCTCCTTTCAAGATTCGGTACCAATTGAGGATAGACATAAGAATGCAGCCGTGCTGAGACACTGAGAAAATGTGGATGAAACTGGAAGTTCGAGTCCCTGGGGCTGCCTTTGTTGTGGGCACTTGAGGCGGCACAACTCGCTATGAGCCAAAAGCTGTGCAAGGTGAAGGGTGCCGCTCTGAGTCCAGATATTAGTTTTACATGCTAAAAATTAAAGCTAAAAGTGCTCCTGTTGCCGCTGTAGAAGCTGGGCTTTTTTCTTTTCTGCACAAGGTTAGAATTCTGCTCTTCTTTGGCTAACAAAAATTGAGTGTAAACCAATTTGACTGATGTGTTAATCTGATATCACTCCCCTATTTACTAATTGTGTATGAGCTAAATCACATTACAGAAATGTATGTAGCAGAAGAAAATATCCTGAGATGGTAGGATTCATTTTTGCTCTTTTATTTTAAGGTTAAACCTGAATGTCAGTCATTTGCTCCTCCTGGAATACAGCAAGTGGAAGCAGACCCTGTGCCTCAGCAACTGCAGGTGGAGTCCTGCAGACCTACCAACCATGGGAGGGTACAGGCACACACAGGTGATCAGCTCTGCCTGGTGTCCATGGAGTAAAATAAGTTAAAACACACACAAGGTAAACCATGTGTCCAGTGTTTTCACTCTACTGGTGTTTTTTTTTTTATATAATACATATATTTTTAATATCTTCTGTGGCAGCCTCCAGCCATGCTGAGCTGTCTTCCTGGGCAGTCTAAATTTTCTCTAAGATATTAATTATTATTCTGTTTTTGTTGGTTTGTTTTTTAGTGTGCTGACCACCACGTTTTGAATGGTCTGCTCATATTCTCTTTTATCATAAGCTCTGATAATTCTACCAAGCAATTTGTTTTGAGCAACACTTATATTTTACTGGATGGTAGAAACACACATGCATGCACCCACATACATCTCTCATTTGACGAAAACTGCAGCATATCAAGAGAATGTGGAGAATAGGAGCCTCCCTGCTTGGTCTTAACTACTTGGTCTGTTTACTCTATGGAAGCCAGAAGTAACAAAGAATTCTGATTCTTTCTAACTTGCAAGGAACACGGTAAAGAGTAAGTGAAAGATCTAGAAGAAAGGCCATGCATGAACTCTGACCTGTGATGACATCATGGTTAGGAATGTGGACTCTATAGTCCAGCTCCCTGGGTTCAAATCCTGGCTCCTCCACTGACCAGCTCCGTGACCTGGGAAAATAAACCCCATTTTCCTTCTGGAAAAACAGAGGTGCTATTAATGAGTATGTATGTCCTGATTATGTTGCAAGAATTTAGAGAAATAATCCATATCTAGGAGGTTGAAGGATAGTCCTGAAAAGGTATATCCACATCCTAATTCCCAGAACCCACAAAGGCTACCTTATTTAGAGAAAAGGTCTTTGCAGGTATAATTTTCTTGAGGTAAGGGGGTTACCCTGGATTATCTGGGTAGGCCCTAAATCCAATGACATGTGTCCTTGTAAGAGTGAGGTAGAAGAAGATTAAACAAAAGAGGAGGAGGCAGCAATGTGATCATGAAGCCAGAGACTGGAGTGATGCAGCCACAAGTAAAGGGATGCTAACAGCTACCAGAAACTACAAGAGGAGAATGGATTCTCCACTAGAGATTCTAGAGGGAGCACAGCCTCACAGACTCCTGGTTTCAAACTTCCAGCCTCCAGAATTTTAAGATTATAACACCAAGTTTGTGGTGATTTGTTATGATAGCCATAGGAAATTAATACACGATATAAAATCATGTAAAGTTGCTGGCATATAGCAAACAATAAATACTACATATACTATTATCACCCCTGACCAATGGAGAAATGTGGCCTAATGGATACTGGTTTCTCCCTGGTTTACCCAATCAGTTAAATCACTCCTCTTTGCATGAGGAGTTGCTAGTAATTGAGAGTTACTAAGAATGGGACATTCTTCCTTGGCATTTCTGAGAGAGGACACAAATGTTTGTCAAATTCTCTAACACTTTCCCTGAAGAAAGGAAACGTTGTTGGAAATGCCTGTTTTAAGCCAAGGCAGGAACACACCTGTGCACAGATAATGAAAGTTCCATTTATTATATAACATAGACTCATGCATATTTACCCACCAGAAGAACACAGGGAGATGGACTACAGATTCCACATTTGTGTAAATATATTTTATACAACTTAACCAGTCTCAAGACTTCCTGGAGCTGCAAACACAGTCATGGTCCTGGCAGGAGTGATACCACAGCCTGTTTGCTGAGTTTCTTCTGGAAGTTTCCTCTTAGAGAGGAAATGTGCACAGTATGTAGGATGACCATGACTATGCATTCTATTTTGTCTGGACTATCCTGATATTCTCCTGTTGTACTAGCACTGCAAATAGTTTAGCATTTTTCACTCTGTCCAGGTTAGATGATAAACTATATGCTTACTTTAGCATGAAGACACACATAGCTTGCCAAAGAGCAAGATAAAAAATCACAGGAAAAGATTTATTTCCAGATGTATTGGATAATTCTGCAGCAGCAGCCCTAAAAGTGAAAGAGGTAAGGATGGTGGATCCATCCCTATTTCTGAAAAAGATTTTTATCCCTGATGGCCAGAAAACGAAAAGGCCCAAAAGGCCAAATATAGGGAAAATGGATGCTCTAAAATCTATATATTTAGCAGGCAATTAATATTTATAATCCACAACATTTGGGGGACCTTCCTGACAGGTTTCCAGCCAGCAAAAATCTAAGAGGAGACTCTTAGAGAATGCAGATCATGCTGCAGGTCTACCAGGCTTACACTCCTTGGTGTCGGTGTGTGACTCATGGCCTGCCAGGTTGTCATTTCCTATGGGGCAGTGCATTCCACATCCACTTGGCTTTAGCCCACCTGGCTCTAGGTGGTGAGTGAGTCTGCAGGATTTCTAACTGGCCATTAGCCCCCTTGGACAGGGGCTTACTGGTGAGATGGCAGGAGTCAGGCATTGGGTCAGACTCCTGGCAGGAGTCAGGATGTGGAGATTGCTAAGGGACTTCCCATATTACGAAACTTCGTGGTATGTTTGAGAGGGCAGAGTGGGAGAAGTAATGTAGGAAGAAAGCAGGATGATTATTTGATATTGGGCAAGAGCCCTTTCAAGGGGAAAATCTTTCTCTCAGTGGAGGAAACAAAGCCAATAGGAGATTTGGGGTAAGGAAGAAACTGTCTGTTATCAGAATTAGCAGTGTGGCTTAGTCCCAAATTTGATAAAGGATCCCTTTAGACATGATAATGTTCTTAGAATAGCATGCTTTTCTCTCTAGGGACAGAGAAAAAAAGATAGAAAAAGCCTAGTCTAGCCATTTTTCTGTATTACAGAATTTGGGGCAACTGAAGGGATTTAGGAACAGGTTAATAGAGGTAGAGGGGAGACACAGATCATGATCAGAAGGTGGGAAAAAAGATACAAACTATGCTATGTAAATAGTACATAATACATAATAAAGCTATATATTGTTGGTAGATATACAGATAATAAAATTATACAGACATACATGGGAGGAAAACACATCCACTAGAGAAACAGTTATCCTTGGGAGAAAGAGAGGGCACAAAAGTGGACCATGGTAGGGATTTTAGTTGTCTCTGTCATTCTCCCAAAATTATATTGGAAGTGACTGTTTTAAAAGCAATAACAGGAAACTGACTTCTACCATAGCACTACAGGGCGGTGGGGGGAAGGATCCTCTGGGACCCCAGTAGCCTAGCTCCTTACAAGTGTCAGAGCTGCATGTTCTTGGGGATGAAGTTCACCTTGCTCTTCTGTCCCGGCATGCAATTGCCAAGGTTTTCTTAAAAACCAATTATTATATCAACATATTTAGGATATCATGGAATGAAAGTCATAGATTTTTCTCATAAGGGGGATGGTATGAGGTTTTAATAAGTAAGCTTTCCAGCAAATCAACGACCCATATATAGAGGAGGGTTAATGGCCCTGGGAAAAGTTCAAACTGAGTGGAGAGTGGAATGTATTGGAGAGAATCAAATAAAGCATGTGGGTGTGTAGTTAGAACTGGGTTACGGTACATGGAAAGGGTCTTCCCTAGTTTCTAAGAAGAACTCTCTCCCATATTCATACTTCTTCAGACCAGTGGTTCTTAAAGTCTGGTCACCAGCCAACAGCATCAGTCTCACCTGGGAACTTGTTAGACATGTTAGTTTCTCAATCAAAAACTCTGGGCGTGGTGCTGTCAGTCTCTGCTTTAACAAGCCCTTTAGGTGATTCTGAGGCACACCAAAGCTTACTAATCAGTTCTCTAGACTTACTTCTTTGTGACCATAGTGAACACAAATCGTTAAAAACCACCACCACCATAAACAACAATCCACACAACCCCCACCAATACCAACACCAAACCAATCCAACCAAAAAGAAAAAGAGGAAAACAGAAGGATCAACAAAACCCAAGAGAAAGACCTAAAACTAGTAATTAAAATAAACTATTGAAAAATTCAAACACTAGGGTAGACCAAATCAAACATAATGATTTAAAATGGTAGCTCAAGAAACCTAACAATTAGAGAAAGAAAAAAAAAACAACAAAACAAAACAGGATAATGCTGAAATTAAAATTAAAGAAAATAAGGCCGGGCGCTGTGGCTCACGCCTATAATCCTAGCTCTTGGGAGGCCGAGGCGGGCGGATTGCTCAAGGTCAGGAGTTCAAAACCAGCCTGAGCAAGAGCGAGACCCCGTCTCTACTATAAATAGAAAGAAATTAATTGGCCAACTGATATATATATATAAAAAAAAAATTAGCCGGGCATGGTGGCGCATGCCTGTAGTCCCAGCTACCCGGGAGGCTGAGGCAGAAGGATCACTCGAGCCCAGGAGTTTGAGGTTGCTGTGAGCTAGGCTGACGCCACGGCACTCACTCTAGCCTGGGCAACAAAAGCGAGACTCTGTCTAAAAAAAAAAAAAAAAAAATTAAAGAAAATAAGCTACTAGTTAAAAATACGATAAGGGAAAAATAAGTGAAATTTCCCACAAAAATTGTAACATCTGACCCATATAGTGCTTTCTTCAGATCAGGCACTATTGTAAGAAAGGTGCCTCTTCTATCTCATTTAATCCTCCTAAGGACCCTGTGTGGCAGGCACCATTCCTGTCTCCATTTTATAGCTAGAAAGGGAAGGCACAGAAAGAGTGCTGTACTTTGCCCAAAGTTACGCAGCTGGTAGGTAAAGTGAGGAGGAGAGAACCAGCTACTAGAGCAATGAAAAACATGTCTACTAAGAGGGGTCACATTAAAAACGGAAATGAAGCCCATGAAGTTAATGAGTTTACAGTGGAAAGGTCAAGAATTAGGAGGGAAAAATATGCAGGTGGGGCAGGAAACAAAAGAGAAAGAATGAGGTCTCTAATAGGGGCTGAAAGTGGGTGTGCTTCCCAGTGTCTGAGGCAGAAGGCTCTACTACAGTTCCTTGCAGAGAGGTGAGGACTGGAGAGCCTAACACACCCTCATACCTGTTTCACTCTGTTTCACTTATTCCCCTTTCAGGACCTTTCAGCTCCACACAGAAGCCAGAAGCAGATTTTCTTCAACAAAGATCCCTACAGGAGCCATTAATAGTTTCTCTATTAGA